TTCAGCTCACTTAATTCCTTTTCGTAAGTTATTGTCCATGCTTTGTTCTTCGATCCAAACACCTGGAAATCAAGGGTTTTATATCAGTTATTGGCACAAAACAAGCATTTGAGGACACAAAATCAATCCAAATAAAGCCCTAAATGAGTCCAAATCGTGGACTCATTAGTCGGCAACCTTTGGTCTAGCTATTTCTGCAAGACAAAACCATATACGTTAGATGGACTACAAGAAACTACAACATTATAAAACAGTGCAGGAAGACTCGCTGAACCGATCAGTGAGTCACTGAACCCATTCGGCGAGCCATGTCGAGCTCGACAAAAGTTCCAAAATAAAATCATTAAAAAATAAGGACATGTAGGAGAAGTCCAAGGCCATTCGATGAATTACTGAAAGTTACAGAACAATTTCAGGAATTTGGGGTGCAAAAGGGTGATGAGAAGGGAATTTGGTTAGTCGCCGAGTGAACTCGATGAGCTCAGGTGTATCGCCGAAAGTGGCAGAAATTAGACCTCAAACATGGAGAATTAAAAGGCGATCGAGGGGTCTTTGGGCAAACCTCCGAACCATTCGGCAAGCTCGACCCAGCTCGCTGAATGGTCCAACATGCCAGATTTTTACCCCAAACTTGAAAATCTAACCCATTTCCCATGAAAACAAAATTAAAATATTATTCTATGCAATTAAACTCAAACACATACTACCCATGCCCACTGGGTACTCAGACTTCCCCTGATTTGGCCAAAATTGGCCAATCGGCGTCTTTTGCCCTTAAGAATGATGTCTACCACTCTATCATTGGGAAAAATTTGACAATCGACACAATTTAGGACTACTCAAACTTCACCCCTACTAGACCCAACACAAATTCAACACGACCCACAAAATTTATCAAGCTAAACACGAGATTTCACGATTTAAGGTAAATTAATCAATTTAAATTAAATACGGGCAAACATTAACGCCACATTGAACAAATCAAAATTATGCGTAGAGAACAACCACAAAAATGATCATACAATTGATTTCACTAAAATGTAAGGACGGGGTTCGAAAAACCAACCTTAGATGCAGAGAATTTGAAAAGCTAGGCTAGCACTGAATCCAAAAATCCTCCCCGAGTTATCAATCCCACACAAAAATGAAGTAAACTAGTACGAGAGTAAGAAAATATGCGGTTGTGAAAGTTTGGAAGTCGAAAAGTATGAAATGAGGGAGAATTTTGAATTTAAAAAGGTTTGGCCTTTTTGACTCTTAAGTTCGTGCGCTAGTTGGTGACAATAACTTACGTCACTGATCCACTCGGTGATGTGCCGAGTAGCACTTTTGTCTGACAAGTTTTACAGAACCTCTAGCAAGCAATATGGTTCAAACGGCGGTCCAAGTCGGGCTCGCCTACTGGACCATTGGCTCGCATAACTACTGTGGGTTGCTTCCCAAGAAGCGCCTTATTTAATGTCGTGGTGCAACAAAGATTCCCATTCAAGATTCATTCTTGGGATTAACCATGGTGTCACTCGGTAGTCCCCTTTTCGCCTTGGGTTCAAATGTGTCGAGATTTGACCCATTTGTGTTTTCAACTACTTAATGGACACCGAATGAGAAGTAACAGTCTTATTTAGAGTGGAGACGTCATCTTTCATTTCTTTTAGCACCTTGTCCGACCCTTCCACTTTGTTGAGAATGCGTGAAAGCATATCTTCAGTGCAAAACTTTTTGGGTCAACCTTTTGCTCTTTAGAATTTTGATGCTCATAAAGAGGTACATATCTCTCCTTGTCCCCATATCTCTCCTTCCAATTAGTTCCACGCTCACGCTATTCTCTATCACGGTCTCTCGAACCGATATCACGCTCTCTATTCCAGCCTTGATTCCCGCCCGGCCTTGGATAATTCGGATGGAAACCACCACCTTGATTTGCAAGGAAACTCACTTCTTCATTATATAGAGCCTCAAAGTTTGCATCATCGGGATTCACCCCGTTAGAATCAACAACATTCACAGCTTCTGGACCATTACTCATGACATGTTTTGACAACAAGTCCATTTGGGTCATCATTTGGTCATGTTTTGATCTCATTCTTGGTCATTTTCAATTTTTTCCTTTCTAATCTTAAAGGTTAAATTAGACACTTGATCCTCTCTTATGTACCAAGCCTGATTGATTTTGGTCATTCCATCAAGCAAAGTAGATGCAATTTCAAAAGGCTGCTGGATGATACCTCCACGGACAAGTTGATCAGCCACACCTTTCTTCACCGAGTCTAGACTCTGATAAAAATGTTGTAACAAGACGTTGTTTGGGAGTTTGTGAGTCAGACATTGGAGTAGATATTTTTGTAGCCGTAGCCAAGTCTCGTGGATTGGCTCACCATCCAAGCATTTGAAACCTTGGATGTTATCTCTCAATGACATCATCCTCGAAGAAGGAAAAAACCTTATGTAGAACGCCTCAGTAAGTTCATCCCAAGTTGTAATGGGGTCCCTTGGTAGGTCGGCTAACCACTTGGTTGCCTCCCCCATCAGTTAAAAAGGGAACAATCATAGTCGAACAGACTTTTGGGAGATGTTCTTGAACGAAAAAGGGGCCACAAAATTCCAAATATGGTCATGGGTGTCCTCATGAGCCAAGCCTCCAAATAACCCTTTCATTTGCAAGAGTTGCAAAATTGTGCTTGTCATGTGGAACACCACATTTCCCTCGACATGAGGCAACCAGATAGTACCTACACCACCCAAATGTACTTCATTCACATTGTTCAAGTTATCGATGTAGTTATGTTGGCCCAATTGGCTGGCGTTGCTTCCGTTGACACTCATTTTGTCACCTGATCAAAGGCAACAAACAACAAGAAAAAAGTAAATAAGTTCAACTATAACACGATAAGATCACAAACAAACTTCAACAAGAGAATTCTATAACACCACTCCCCGGCAGCGGTGCTATTTTTGATAAACGCTCAACTACACCTCATCCATTACTAGGTGTAGGCGATCGTAATCTAGTATAAAACCCAACAAAGAGTTGGGGTCGAACCCACGGGGAGCGGTACTATATAGAATTCAATTAAGAAGTAAATGTTGTGTTATAATTGATTATAGAGGTAGACATTATCGAAACCAAGCAAAGTAAATTAATGGTTTGACAATGAATGTCAGATATGACTTTTAAAAGTGTTAATTATCAACAACCACAATTAAGAAAACCTAGGAGTAGATAAGTAGAGAGGAATTCTCGGGGATATGATCGATTATAGTCTAATTTTGCTATATGGGTAATTGTAATTTACTAACAATTGCTGAACCTCAGTGGGTAGGCTAGACTATAGATATAGCTATTCTCGAACAACTATTACGATTCAAGCGAGTTCTCTCAAACCTCGATAAGCTTAACAATTTAAACAACCCAAAACCTTAATTTATCTACTCTCTCGAGCTAGATAGGTAGGATCTAATTAAGATTCACTCTCTCGAGCTGAACTCATAACAACCCAATTGGTACAATCATCAATCGATAACCTTAGCTTTAGAACCTCTTTTTCAAGCAAGCCCAGAACACTAAGCTAGAATTGCATTTGCAACTACAATTCATGAGTTAATACACAACTACCAATCAAAACCACTTTAAAACAACATTTAAACTAGTAAACAACAATACCCATAAGCTAATTAGAACAAATAATCACATGATCACACCCTAAGAATTGGGGTTTTAGCCACACTACATAAAAAAGAAGAAGCGATTATCAATTATGTTGTCCATGAACTGGGTAATGATTTCTAAGTCTTTACAATGCTTCAAGTCGACTCAAATTCAAAACCCACTTGAAATTTCTACTTAAAAGCTCTAAAAATACTCTTTGGAATCAAGAACTCAAGGTGAAACTCTCAAAACACTTCGGAATTCTCTAACCTCTGGACTCTCCCTAATATTTTGAAATTTTACATTTATATTCTTTAGAATTTGCAACTTGTGGACTGATCGGCGGTGTTAGTCAAGCATCGACAACCAGGTCGGTGATGCACCAAGTGTCGCATTTCTTCACCGTCTTGCCTTGCCTCTTCAACCTCAGAGTTCTGTGACTTTAGGCGATCCAAGTTTGTGTCGCCGAAGGTCCAAATCCATCGCCAATTTGGCTTCTCTCCAGGGATGGCAGTCTGGACCTTTAGGTGAGCTGAAGTACCACTCGGCGAGTGGCTTTGGCGATTATCAACTTTTGCTATCTTTATCCTTCTTCATCTTTTTCGCTCCTTTTTGCCTGGTAATGTCCTTGCCTTGCTCCTTTGCCTTCGTTGTTGCAAATCAACACTTTAACATCAGTTTAGAGCATAAATAAGACATTGAGGACAATAAAACTATGAAAACAAAGCCCGAAATGAGTCGAAATATCAGACTCATTATACACCATAATATTAGGATGCTTAATTAGATTCAGACGTCTTAATCTTAATGGAAAAAACTGAGGCCTTAGACACTATACTTACAAAAGATGTTTTTGGTTCTTAGAAACTCTAAACTTCACTAATTATTCTGTGGGTTTAATCTTATTTTGTCTAGATATGGTTCATATTTTACGAGACACCAAATTCTACGCATTTATTCGTGAAAACCCAATAATTTTTTTATGTTTATATTTTTTTTCAGATATGTAGAAAATTGTTGGAAAAATATTTTTTCCATCTCAAAAATAAGATTATGTTTTTAAAATATTCCTACATTTAATTAGTATTTATTAGCCTTAAGTATAACAACATTACGTTCTATCATTTTGATCAAATAACTTATGGCTTTAAAACTCTTAATTGATAAGAGTATAATGTGTCAATTGACAATTATCTTTAAATAATATTCATGACCTTTTATCACCATTTTTAATTGTTTGAGGCATATCACATGCTATCAAATTTTCTTCTATGTGTAAGTACTCTTTCAAGTACTAATGAATGGGGTGAAAAACAATGAGAAAAAAATATACTAGAGAGTAAAAATCATACGTAGCCACGCAATGAGCACATAGTGAACTAATCTTTTGCCTTTTACTAAAGAATACCGTGTCGCGTTGTAAATAGTGGCATATGCCAATTTTTGGAGGGTTTTTCACTTTTTGAGAAATCCCCATAGAAAGATATCACAATTTTTGAGGATAGCGATCTCTATCATTTTTCTACTATTATTTTATATAATAGAATTTTACTATTCGAAATGGCATATCTTCCCGATGAAATCACTATGATAATTCTTTCAATTTTACCGGTGAAATCTCTAACGATTCAAGTGTGTTGATAAGACATGGCATTGTTGGATTTCAAGGCCAAACTTTCAACTCTCAAATCAACGACAAGAAGATGGAGCAATTACCAACATATATTTTTTGATGTGGAACTCTAAGCCCTCCTTTAGATTAATAAACCAACAACTCACTTTGGAAGAACTTAATTACCCTCGATGTCAAGGTGATGTGACTTACATTGATAGTTGTATGATTTTGGGTTCTTGTTATGACCTTAAACTATTTAATATAAACGAGAATATTTACTTGTGGAATCCTGCCACCCGATTTTGCATTAAAGTGCTTGAACTTAATTGATTGCACGATCATTGTATCAAAGTGCTTGAACTTAATTGATTGTACATTCACTGTAATATACATGGAGGACTTTGTTTCGACTCCTCCACGATTATTTATAAGGCAATGTTGATTATGAGATATTAGGGCCAAGTTGATGTTGATGAGTTTGTTATAATTTCTAGTCTTGAAGACAAACAACGGAGGGAACTCGAATTTCCTTATAATATCTACTCAGTAAGTGAAGGGATTACATTGCATGGACGACTTCATTATAAGGTAAAGGTAAAAATTAGATAATGATGAAAATAATGAATTGTGGGTGCACATTTTTTTCTTTTAACCAAGTAATTTATTTCAATCCTAATTTTGAAAAGTTTCATATGTTTTCGATCCCTGAGCCTACAGGTAATCTAAAAGAGAATGATAGAATTGGTTTAGAAATTTCATATGAATGTCTTTGTATGACTTGATTAGTAGATGATAAGTGAGGTGTTGATATATTGATCATGAAGGAATATGGATTAAAAGAATCGTGGACATCTTTATATTTTATACAGAATTTACAAATAAATTTTTGGTACGAATTTGCGGTCCCTTTTTTCGTGACAAAGATGGAAGAAATAGTTTTTGTAAGATATTATTATGACGAATGAAGTTGTATACAATCTGAAGATTGAAAATACGAGAGAAATCCTCAATGCACATGGACTAATGGTTAACTATGTGAAAAGTTTGATCTCGCCAAAGGAATACTGTTGGAATGAAAAGCGAAACAAACAATTTGGAGAGCTTAGAAGGGAAAGGTTCCATTATGTTTTTGATTGAGCTTATAATGTCAATATTTTAGATATATTTATTTATTTATTAATTTAATTTTTATTTTCTAGGGAAGGTTGTTATTGTAATTAACAAGGATATAACTACGTAATTTATATGCTATTATTTTGGAATCTTATAATATCAATTTCTTGATTTAAGAAGGAGGAGTCAAGAGAGAGTATATTCTTTTTTCATATATCATGTAAATTATTTTTTGTACTAAATATAATAAATGAAATAGATTGTGATTAATGTTTTTAAAAAAATCTTCTCAATTCATTTTTTTGGAATTTCTATCGAATTAAAACCTATTTTAGTGTAACATTCCATAAATTTCCAAGCTAAGGGCCGAAATCATTCTTTATTTGCGGGTAAAGTTGTATCGGGTGATTCTTAAATTTTTCTTAGGTGTTAAGGTCAATTTTTCAGTGAGAGAATGGATTTGGCTATGAATTAAGTTTACAAGAATTCCCTAGGATAAAGTTGAATTGAAAGTTTCCTTACCAATTAAGTTTTGACATAAGATTCTTCTTAGGTTAACTTCTATCACGAGCCAAAGTAGACTCTAGGCGTAACATGACGCATAGAACCCCGAGAGGCCCTATACAAGCCACTTAGCATACATAGTACAAGATAATAGAATCAAAGACTTTAAAAGATTGCATTTCACACATCAATGAAAGTTTGACAAGCAAAAGGCTAAAATAAGTCCCAAAGTCATCTAGTACATCATAAGGAAAGTGATTGAGACGTAACTCATACATCACATACAAAGTTTGAAAACGTAAATGATATAAAAGTAATAAAAGAATTTTGGACCTCAGATCATGAATACTTACCAATCTTCAAAAGCCCAAAAGGATCAATTAGCTATGAGTATGTGAGGTAGTAGCGTCGGACCCTACATTAGTGAAATAATGTAGGCACAAGTATGCATTACTATATAGAATGTACTGAGTATGATAGCAATTCATAAGAGTTATGAAATCGTGCTAAAAGGACTTTACATGACATGCAATGACCAAACTAAATCATAAAATAACATGTTAGAAAACATAATTCATAATCTTGGTCAATGCAAGCTAAACATATTTAACACACTTATGAAATACTTGAGAAAGTAACCTTAGTTCATTATTGTGGAAATTTTACCATTAACCGACACAGACCATGTGAGCTACAACATGGAATCTGGTGTCTATCCCACACCGAAAAGAGATGTCCTTACTTGCCAAGGTAAGGACCATAAATTTGAGCTAAAGTGGATCCACTAGCTAGGTCATTTAAGACAAACCTATGGTGGCACATAATTATGGGATATGGATATTTATACTAGAAACCCGGCCTCAACTAATGGGAGAGCTTCCATCTCAATATCCTCTCGGTGCTAAGTATACATCCCACAGAAATGTCATTTAATCATATTTTATCTTATTTTCCATGGAAAGACACAATTAGTAAACAATCCAAGCTAGAGTTTATTTAGAATGTCTCCTTAATATTGATTCAACTTAGGTGAGAAAACCTTTCAACCGTATGAATCCTTTTGTGAGAAAATCCCTTTCACAATCATGTTTTTAGTAGTATGTGAGAAATCCTTCCACAACAACAAAAACAACATCAATGTTTTACTCTCAAAGCAACCTTGAATCATTTATATCAATTTCATATTGGAACATCCATATCTTCATAAATTCACCTTACATAGTTCATAAACTTGATCATGCGTTCATAGTAACATATAATTACTTCAATTCATGCATAAAAGATTGGAAACAATCACTTGAATCATAATCGAAAAGGGACCCATGAAGATTGAATAAAATCCTAACTTGAATTGCAAATCTTTTTTTACAAAATTGGAGAGGTTTGGAACATTATAAAGGAAAGGACTCCATAGGTGAATACTAACATACCTTATCAATCAATGCCTACAATCAATGGTGGATTAGAGTTCTTTAAGCCAAACCCTAGCTTTCTCTTTCCTTGGTTCTTGAGGGGCAATTTGGGGGTAATCTTGGAGAGAGTTTAATAATTTAGAAGAAAGGTTTTGAATGGGTAGTTTTAGACTTAAGGGACTTATATAGGGCATGGGATTAGGATCAAAATGACCTATTTTAGGCATTAATCAATGAGGGAATAGACTTAAAAAACCTTAAAAATAATTATCAATCTATTCCTATGGTTTGGACCTATGGTCTGTAGGTCCTTCTACGGACCGTTCTAGTCAATTGTAGAATTGATTAGAGACCCTTAATTTGGTCAATTTTTTACGAACACAATCTATGGTCGTAGGTCCTTCTACAAACCGTAGATACCAACTGTATAACCCAGCCTTAAAATTTAAAAATTTCACTAAGTCTGGGAGTCACCTCGAGACCTATCTACCACTTGTACATGGGATGACAGGTCGTCTTGGTGAACTGTACAAATGGTACTGGACTTGTTTTGAAAAAAACTAATTTCCCCCTTCCTACAGTTGCAACCTACGGTCCGTAGATGGGAACCATAGACTAAGTTTGCAACCCAAAAAATCATTTTTCTTCCTTTTTCCAAATTCTAGGTGTTAAAATATCTTCCTCTTGGGAACATTCATCCTCGAATGGGACTCAAGACAATGTAAGGAGGGTAGGGGAAGAGATCTAACAGCCCAATAAGAATGCAACTTCATTAACAACACATAATCAAGGAGAGACATCAACTCCAAGCTTAAGCATTTTCAAAACATCATTCATAAAATATACATGCAAATCATACTCAAATGTACATAATCATGCATAAATCAATCAAAGCTAAATCAGTATCTCAAAAACATGTTTTCATGAGCAAGCATGCATGAGGAAATATGATAATGACTAAGACCTTAGGATGGAACATGTGGAACTAAATACCTCAAGCTAGAGTAGGGACGGAGGGAAAGAGATGAGGGTATCGGGATATCATATCAGCCTCGGCCTCCTAAGTAGCACCCTTAACTAATTGATTCCTCTAAATAACCTTCACATAAGCAACTTCCTTCTTCTTAACTTCCGAATTTGCCGGTCTAAAATCTCAACTGGAGCCTCTTGATAAGAAAGATTCTCTTTAACTCCCAAACCTTTCAAGGGAACAATAGATGTCGGATCTCCAACACACTCCTTCAACAAGGAGGCATAGAATACTTGATGCACCGATGCAAAATCATCAGGAAAATCAAGTTCATACATAACTTTACCCGTATGACTTAAATTCTGATATGGTCCCAAATAACGGAGACTAAGCTTTTATTTCTTTCCAAACCTCATTATACCCATCATCGGTAAAATTTTCAAGTAGACCAATCATTTAACACAAACTCAAGATCTCTCTTTCTAACATTAGAATAAAACTTTTTGTCAAATTTGAGTCATTTTCAACCTTGCGCTAATAAGTCAAACCTTCTTCATAGCCTCATTTACCAACTCAGGACCTATCAAGGCAATATTATGATGAGTGGCAGATTTGCACTCATTTAAGGTCCATTTAGCTCAATAATTAGTGTCCTTAATGTCTAATTTTTTCCTATTCTATTAGAATTTTGATGATTTGCAACTATGAAAGCAATTTGACAAGGCAAGGACTGATGTTTGAAAGAATGTCCAAAAATACAAAAATAAGTGCAAAGTAAACATTGTTGATCGCCTAACATGAAGGGCAAATCACTAACTGAGCACGACCTTGCAAAATTTGACAGTGTATAACACTTG